CTGCAGTAATATCTGTAAATGTTTGAAATTTTATTATATCTATTCCTGTGATATGTAAGTGCCTCAAAATCAATATTTATCACATTGTTATGTCATCTCTTTTTTTCTAATAGAAAAATGGAATGCAGGCATTATATCTTAGGGTTCATAAGACACTGAGTAGCAGAGTGTAGAACTCAAGTCACAGATTTGCAGTAAAGTTGGAGGAAAAACTTATTAAAGGAAACCCCTTATTAAAAATAAACTTGATTTTCTGAATACTATTTTGTATTTGGGTTGGTGAATAATTACTTTGGATAACTGTATCATTGTAAAAAAAATATAGAGATAAATATTATAAAAATAGAGATCTCTTCTATAAATATTGAGGTCCCTTTCTGGCTAGGTGACTAACAAGCCATTGATTGTATCAAGATCAAACTGTGCTTTGTCTTGGGATATGCTCAATCATTTAAATCAGTGTCATCTTTGGTAATCAGAGACAGAACAAAAGGATTATTAGCTTGTAAATCTCCTCCAGCCAAGAAGACCCCGCTTGAAAGGGCAGAGACCCAAACATTGCAAAATTTAGGGTGGAATGACATATTTCAGAAATAAGGCCAGGGATAAGACTGACTTTAACTAAATAGTAAAGTTAGGCTTTTAAACCCATTTCTAATCCCAGACCAAATTTCAAGATATGGTAAACTACATTTATCTTGAAGAGATAGGCTTCATATCAATCTCAAATTCAGTACTTTTATACCCAGATCAGAACTCAGGTGAAAGACAAAGCTTGTGAAGTAGCAAATGTAGCAAACTAAGTAATTAGCCTAAAAATAGTGAATGATGAGGGTCAGGCCTTGAAATGTAAAGGATTTTCAGAAAGAATGTGTTTTCATGGGAAGGCAGAGAACAGCAGCATTGGGAATGGCATCCCATTGCTCTGTTGTGCTTAAACCACGTGATCTCTGTGATTTGTTAGCCACTTGAAAATCGTATATTATGTTTTTATTTTCTGCTGATCAATGTTATTTATTGTTGTATTTTATGTTTGATAACTGTATATAAAAATGACTGAGAGCATTTTTTATGACCCTAGCCAAACTTCTAGAAGAGAGTCATGTATATAAGCCTGAGAGGGATTGATTCCAGTGCATGTAGCTCAAAACCTCAATATTTCTTAAAATTTCAGGTTCCTTTTAGCATCTAACACAAATGAACAAAAATCTTTATGAAAATGCAGGTGATGGTTGTTTTGCCATCACTGACTCATAGAAACCAAAACAGAAGCTGGAGAGCTAAAGAGCCTAGAGACACCACAGGCACAGCAGAGCAATTATAGTGTAATGTGGGATGGTAAGGCCTTAACAATTCCCTTAATATCTATGCAATTGTAATGGCCTTCATGGTCTCAAAGATCATAAATAATAAGGATGAAAAATATCCCTCTGCAATAACAGACTTTTGTTTCCTAACTTTCATAGGGACTCCAAGCAATTGCTCAGTAATTTTTATACATTTCCAGCCAGTTGCTGCAGGCATGTTGCTTGCTAGGGTAGCAATAACCCAGAAGAACAGGATGTGGTACAAAGTATCAGTCAATCAGCATTTCATTAAGAATATGAAATGGTGGCATGACATGCAAAGAGCCTTCAGTACATGTACAGATTACACTTACCGAAGGGACTTAATGTGAGTTAAAAGCTTAAGATCTGAATATTGTCCCTCAGATAGGTACAGATGTACTGTATAATTTTAAAAACAAGAATGATATAATCCCATTTTAAATTCTGTTTTTATTCAGGGCTAAAAAAGAAAATGTGAAATAGTATGCAACAACTCAACACAATAATTTTCCAGAACAAAGCCTTACCCAAAAACAAATACACCCCATTTTAATTTCATTGTAGCACAAAAACTGTCAGTGAGTGTGAACAGTCAGCAGATGTCAGAGATTTAGAAAGGATCTTAGGCTCCATCATAAAACCCATGTGAACTATTTTCATCAGCGTTCACTACAAGAGAACATAGGAGATTCCCCTATCAGGACTGGAGTTCTTGTAATTGAAATTTAAATAGAAGAAATCTTAGAAATATTGACACTACAAATAATAATAAAGCCCCAAGGCCCAGCTTCTGCAGGGATATACTATTTTCTTTCACTTAGCCTTAGGACTAGAAGGAGGGTAGGTAGAAATGGTGGGGTTATTTTATCAGAAGAAGGGACTCCTAAGAACATCTGAGGAATGACAAGCCACTACGTCTGATTTCTGTGTCAAGTGTGCTGATGGAAAATACATAAAAATGCATGATCATTAGGATTGTATTTAGCACATTATCATACAGTAGTTTTACCACACAGTCATTTACCAACGACACAGCTTTAAACCAGGGAAGTCATGCTTCAGTCAGTATACAGCTTTCCTAAAGAGTCTGAGAATACAAACAGAAATGGCCAAGCTGCTTTCATTTCACATTGTTCTTTAGGGGGTCACACATCAAAGGCTGTTGAAGAAACTAAATTCTTACAGGAGCTGAAGTACAGCCCCATTTTCAATTAAAATCTATTAGAAAAAACCCACCTATTGTATGAAATTCACCTATTGGAGAACTGTGATATTGTCAGTGAAGGCTTTTCTGGGACTTTACTACTCAACACATAAACTATCTGGAAACAAAATAAACAGAGAAGTAAAGAAGATTGTTGATGTAGCATTATTCAGAATTTTTAAAGTTATCACTAACCCTGAAGAACTGAAAAAGGATATTGTGATAATAGAAATAGAGCAGATAGTCAATAAATAATGTCACCACCAACAAATTTATATAATACTTAAACCTAAAAATATAATACCTTTATTAGATATTATCAGTAAAGAAATTAGGGTGCCATGGTGTATGAACATCGGCTCAAGTACAAAACAGCAAATAGAACTGAATTTTGTAGAACAAACAAAAAAATTCCAAGGAAGAAAATAGTGTGATAGAAAGATCTACATCTTCGTTATTGCTGTGCAGTTCTCATCTTCACATCCCAAAATGATAGAATGGAATTTGAAGAGCTGTCATATGGGCACTAGGAATGTTTATTAAAGATTCTTTTTAAGGAAGAATTAATGGTCTGGGATTTTTCAGCCTGTTAAAGACGTATTTAAAAGGAGATATGATATATATCCTGTAAAAAACCATTTAATTGGTTAACTGAGATAAATCAGAAACTAGCATTCATAATCACAAAAAAAAATTCAGAAAACAGTAAATGAAGTCACAAGGAGTGTAACTAAATTATAAATTTAATGTGTGATGTATTACAAGCCAGTGGGAATAAATTCTCATGACGTATTATACTAGTAGACACTTCAGTCTAGGCTAAAGAAAATTTTAATTGACTACCATTTTTTGATGCCCTGGCTTTATTTTAGTACCCACTACACACGTGTTAATTTTTTTTTCCCTATTAAAGAAAAAGGTTCATAAAGCAATGTCAAAACACTGTTTTAGCAATGTCTTGGAGGAAATGGGTCAGTATTGCTAACACATGTAATACTTGGAGGATTATGGTTTTTAGAAAGAAACCTGCTACCTATAAAATCACATTATTTTTAAAATTGCATTGTTTGAAAGAAAAGCATTTTATGCTTTCTGCTTCTGTCATTTGATTCACTTATGAGACATGTTTAGATTTTCTAATTGAACTTAAGCCCCTGACGAAACATTCAAACATATATATGTTCAGACTTCCCCCCAGAACCCAGCTTCAGGACAGAGTGACAGTGGGAAAATGAGAGCAAAGCCTCACTGGAAACTCCTGAGCCCCATAAGAAACATTGAAGGCTAGGAATATGTGCTTTACAATTTCAGTCTTATGTATTGTTTTTTGCTCTAGTAGGTTGTGGGTTGTTTTCCATCTATCTCTGCGAGCTCTTATTCTCTCACCTGTAAAACTCATACTCGTCTACTTACATGTCTCTTCTTACGCTCATTTCTTTTCTTTCTTGCATAAGAAATCTCTTTTCTCTCCTTCCTTTTCATCTCTTGCTCCTATTTGCTTTAGATGTTTCTGTAGAATCTTGACTGATTTTCATAGATTTAGACCTGTCTTGTTGCTACTTTTTCAACCAGTCAAATTTTATTCAGTTTTCCTTGTCTAAAAATCTGAACAGTTCCTACTTTGTAAAATACAGCCTTTTGTTCCTGAGTATTTTCTACCCTCATAGCCCAAATTCCCTCTAATCAAAACAGCTGTTGGAGTCATATTCTTCTCCTTCCATGCTGATTTTTCTCCATGATATTTTCTCCAAGTGGCATCAAATACAAATGTATCACCTCAACTTATAAAACATAGCTCCATGTCCCTACTGATTTCTCTTTTCCTAAGATCTTGTGGTTCTCCAAAGCTGTCAATCACTCTACAGCAAATCTGAGATAACTTTATTGATTTCCATTTTTACATTTTCCCATTCCTGAATTTTTCCCCATTTCCTAGAATATTATCTTGTAGTGCTTGAAGTGTTGTCCTGAAAAGAAATTTTCTCCCAAATTAAAAGTCTCACTGAAAATGACATAACTGAATTTTGCACGTCTACCTATCTATGCTTGTATCTGTGTACACAAATTCTCCTACATAATTTTTCACTGAGCTTTGAAAGTTTTCAGTCAAACCCAGCATGATATGTTGATTTATTCATCATAATTGTCAATGTGCTGGTAAATAAAGACTTGGTCTAAGAAAATTCTCAGTCTTCTATTGATTGCCCACTTTAATCTTTGAAAATTTAAATATTAACCCAAGTTTGAAAAAAATAAATCTTTTTTTTTTGTGCTAAATGTTGTGCTGCTGGTGAATTGAAGAGCATTTTAGTACATATATACTGGACCTGAGCACAGCATATCAGATCAAGAGAGGTTATCTCCATTGATTACCATCTTTACTGATGATTCAAAAATCAAGCCATGAGATTTTCTGTGATAATGGAAACTGATGATATTTCATATTTTAAACATTCATTATTTTCCAGGTGTGATGGGAGAATATGAACCAAAAATTGAAGTCCACTTTCCTTACACAGTTACAGCTGCAAGGGGAACTACTGTTAGGATGGAGTGTTTTGCACTTGGAAAGTAAGTACAGATTCCTTCATAATTAACATCATTAAGATGAGATATGCCTGATTTGTGGTTTCATTATTTTGCTGGGTTTTATTTTTGCAGACAGTCCTTACTGCATTCTCAAAATAACCAATTGACTAAGTAGCTAATTATGAACTCCCTGCCCAGCCATTTCTGTGGTCAGGAATTCAGTCAAGTTAACAGTGTCTCCGTCAAAATGAAAAGTACCAATCTCATAAACAAAAAGAAGAAAGGTTTGTTTAATTGAAATTTTTACCAGACTCACACCCATTTATTCACTGGGATACTATAAAAGAGTAAATTAGAGTTTGTTCTGTCAAAATGTCGTATTTGGAGAATAAACAAACGTTAGTAGAGTTTTTTCCCCTCCCCCATATTCATAATTTATACATGAAGCTAAGAGCACAATGTCTTGATCATGTCCTATCACACTTTGTGGCAGTGTCTGCTCTATAGTTTCTACCTGACCTAATAGCACTAGCACAGAATGGGTGTTCGCTATTCATGTCAAGGAGTTTTTAGATGCTTGCTGATAAAGGAGTTCAGGGAGCGAAAAGTGTAAGAAACTGAAACTAAAATTACTTCTATACAGTATTGAGATAACAGAATGTAGGATGAAATTGATAACATTTCAGTTTTGTGGTGGTAGTTACAATTAGTTACTTAAGTTACTATTACCATATCAAGAATAAGGTTGGCAATGTTATTTTACAGCCAGACAGAACTAAGAATCAATTCTAGTGTTTCAAAGGGATTCTTTCTTCTTCACATATATGCTGCTAAAAATGATGTCCCTTCAGTGATGTTTCCCTTGAGACATATAAAAAATTATAACAGATAGGGTTCTTTCCAAAATACCTCATCAAATTCTGTGTGGTGTGTTGAAAAAAAATCTCACTGTATTGAATTATTTTCAGTTCCTTTTCATAATGATGTTCCTTTTGGACATCTTGCCCCTAGTCTCCAAAGATATGCTGCTAAATGTCATATGTCCTGCTTCCTTTTATAATTCATGGTTTATCAAAAACATGCAAGTTTCTTACAGGAAGGGAAGGATTTGTCTTTGTAAGTCCTTTGGAGGAGCTTCACAAAAGAGTTAGTCTGAAAAATACTATATCTTACATACCAATTGTTCTTACTTACCTAAGGAGGAGCAAAACTAAAGCAGTTAGGAGTTGTAAGACAATAATCTGTTCTCCTGCTTGTTCGGCAGGTCTGGTTTTCCAGAGTAACTTTTCAAAGCTTGTCTCTACAACCTGAAAGGGCTTTTTAAATCTTTCATAGTCCTTTTTATCTTACGGGTCACAGGATTTTTTTCTGTTCAGATTTTTCTCTCAACAGTTCCTAATTACTGACTGGATGTTATAGGTCTGAAACTTACTCCCTTCTTGCTGGTTTTTCTTGTTTGACCAATACCAAGATGCTCTCACTGCGCAGGTCAACAGAAATTATACAAAAATAATTAAAGAGAAATTCTGACAAGTTTTTTTCAGTTGTATCTATTTAGTTTCAGTGAAGTTGAAGAAGAAATGGGACATAGCCAAACCAGTAAAAAAAAAGCAAAAACTAGGAGACTATAGCCTGCATGTAGGCAGCCATTAGTGACAACAGCTTTTGCAAATTCATCCCAACATAAATGCAAGCAGTAGTTTAGAAAAACTAACTCACAAATGTGAGACAAAAACTTTTGTAAGGTAAAAAACAAGTCTTATGCTTTATATAGTAAAGGTGAGGAAAGAGGTACATGACAGAGGACAGAAAAGCAATAAATGGAGATTCCCTGAGATGTTGAAATAAATGAGGTAAAGGGCTCTTCTGTAGAGGCTGATGGCTCCTGGCTCTCTCCTGTCAGAAACACTGCCAAGTCAATAGCTGGCAACAAGGCCCTTTTAGACTCTTGGCTATGGCTGAAGCAGTAACCAACATATTACTTCTTATTTTCCTCATTTTTCTGGAATTAAATTACAGTTGCTGACAGATTACAAGTCAACTTTCAGTGAAAAGCAGGCATGACACACACTGTCCTTTGCACCCATCACTGAAGGGCAAGAAACAGACCTACTGTTACCTTCCATCTTCAGCACAGTGAGATTTAGTAAACTCTCTCAAAAGGATTCCATCACTAGTCAAAAAGGAAAGTGAAGCTGACAGGAAAGGTTTCAAATGGCTTATTCCCACATTTTTATTTGATGTTAATCTTTAATAAACAAGAAAATCAAAACCACCTGAATGAATTTAAGGTTATCTAATAAGCTAATTGACCCCATTTGCTGCTATTATAATGGGCAGCTATTTTTACCATGCACATTCCTTATCTTCTTTTCCCAGCCATTAATGCACAATCAAATCAGCTGAGCTGAAATTGCTTTCAACTTGATATGGTAATAATTACATGAATGACATTTCAGGCACTATTTAAACCTGGAGGCTGAGGTGAGAAGTAGAAATGCATCAAATTTACTATTCATTTTTATAATTTTCATTTTTTGTCCCCATTTTTTATTCCTGATGCCCTGTAGGGATTGTTGCTTGTTACATTGCCATGGGTCCCATTTGCTAAACTAAATCAACAAATAATCTGTTCCTTTTTTATTTAGTATTTTAAAACTTGGTATTTTGAATTCTTATTGTAAATAACACTGGGGTTATTACCATCTCAAAACCAATATGCTGCTGTTTTTTTCATGCTTTAATTTGGATATTTGAAACACTCTGCTCTCTCCACTGTAATTGTGAGAGTGACAGACGTTCCAGTGAGATTTCCTGAAGTAGGCATTTGGCAAATATTCCAGGAAGAGCCTAATCCTTGCTACCGATTAATGATTTATTAATAGTGTTTATTTAGCACTGTCAGTCACTATGAAAGAATTAAATAAATTGAAGCTCTGCAGCCTTTGTCTTCAAACTAAAGTTAAATATCTTAATTGCTTGACAGAGAAAAATTTTATGAGAAGGATTTTATTCTGACCCAAGCAATATGCAGCTGGTTCAGTTACAAGTGAAAATATTATGTTGCTGATGCTACTTACAAATAGACTTTGTAGTCGCTAAAAAATTCAAAGTAATGCAGGAGTGAAATATCTCAAGATTATCTAATTTCTACTAGATAACACTTCTTATCATGAGCATCAGTCATTGGCTAGGAAATCACTGCATAAATCAATAATTTACTGCTGAGGTTTAACAAGACATGAAAAACAGAGGAGCCAAGTAAAATTTACTGCAGATATATATCAGAGTGTGTATTTTGCAATTAGTGACGTTTTGTGCTGGATATATATTCTGGCCCGAGGCTGCTTTTGTAGACATATTCACTGCCACATTTACACAATAACTTGTGTTTTAATTACATCTATCTTTCATATATGTACCTATATATAGCATACAGATATGTTTTCTGCCACCCATTTAATTATGTAATTTCTATTAGAAATACTTGAATTTTTTTGTTCCCTAACAAAACAGGGGATCATATTTTTTAAAAACATACTAAAAAAATACTGGCAATAACTATTAATATCTTCTATTTATTTTTAACTTGTCACAATAAAATAAATACTTCTTTTCAATTTGCAGAATTGCTACATCCTGATTAGTATTTATATAAAATGTTGATAAAATAATCAAATAATTGAAAAGAAAAAGAAAAAAATCTGAATGGTAGAATTCAAAACATCTAAATTAATAAAAATAATTCTAAACTGCAATATATTAATGATTTCTTTTGAGTAACATAGTTTTCACTCCTTGTGACTTTGATCTTCGAAGGTGATTTAAATGATAGGTTAATTTTTTTGTAAAACTAATAAATGAGCTAATGGGTAATGAGGTTTCTGTTTGTAGTCTAGATAATCCTGATTTTCTATGTCCATTTCAGTGTCAGACCTTAGATTTCTTATGTAAATCAGGAAGACAGATCATGACCTTGTTCATCGGAAAAGTTCTGGTGATGAAGATAAAATTTTCCTAGCTGACACTTTTCTACAAATTACAGCATTCATGGCTTTTCCTGCTCCAGAAATGCAACTTTTCAGACACTACCTTCTGTGACAGCAGGTTGCCATTTTAATTTTCTCTCAAATGTTACTGACTTTGCTTACAAGAACATCTAGAGGCAAGTGGTCCATTCTTCTATTTTTTTTTTTTTCATGTACTTTATTCAAAGAACTGATTCTGGTGCCCTCATTTAGCTCCCTATTAGAAAAAGATGAAATTAATGCTGCTGACATGCAAAAGGACTCTAAATTCCATCCCCACAATATGACACATTCATTAATGAAGCACTTCAGTGAGAGCCATCCAGGCATCCTTTAACACTTCCTGACTTTGGAGCATACTTATGTCAAAAGTAATTTTAACACTATTATTTTAAATATGAGATTTAAAGGCAGGTATAGATGGAAATATACCTTTTTTTTTTTTAAAGCCTCAAAATGAACAAGTTTTCATAGTTTCAGAAATGATACAGGACTGGTTTGTCCAAGATAGCATGAAAAGCTGTAAGTTCATGCCCTCTTCAATGAGCCTAGACCCTTGGCCTCAGAGGAAAGCCAGAAAAGTGCAAGTGTCAGAAACATCTTTCTTTCTTTTCCTTTATTATTCTCTCTGGCATATAACTCTAAGTTGTCTTCTTGCTTCTATTTAAAATAATTCTACTCTCACTCTTTTGCACAGATTTTTAAATTTAAACTGTATATAGTGCACACACTCTACCTGACCCTCACACTTCAGCCTTTTCCTTAGTGCATTTTTGTTTGTGCATTACACTAGACTTTTATTTTATTTTCCATATAAATGTCACATTTCATTAGTTTTCTGTCTCTAGTCAGAAAATAAAATAGAGTTTGTATTATGATAGTGCCAGAAGCCAATATTGAGTGAGTAATCATATTTTATTTCTCATTAAAACAAATTACAAGATGTGGGCTATTGCAGTACTTGTAGATTAGCAGAGTTTTCAATCTATGCTTTAAAAATAAGGGCTGCATAGA